CACCACTAAAACCAGTGATGTTTTGGATTCATGGCGGAGCCCTCTATCTCGGGTCATCATTTCAATACCAATACAACGGCAGTGCACTGGCAGCTCATGATGTGGTGGTTGTGTCCATGAACTATAGATTAGGACAGTTTGGGTTCCTATACGGTGGCGATGATAGGGCGCCCGGAAATCAGGGCTTTTATGACCAGTTATTAGCACTCAAATGGGTACAATTATTTGTTTAATTTATTTTAATTTACAAACAATTTTTAAAAAATTTAATTTATCTACAGGTGAGAGAAAATATTCATAAATTTGGTGGGGATAAGGATCAGATCACCATATTTGGTGAGAGCGCTGGTAGTTGGTCCGTATCGGCACAAATATTATCTCCCCTATCGAAAGGTCTGTTTAAGAGGGCTATTATGGAAAGTGGTGCCCATATGTTCAATAAGGACAGGGATATCAGGACTAAATCTGAAGTTTTAAGCGATGCCAAGAATTTAGCCAAACATTTCAATTGTAGTGAAAATGAATGGTTAGAGTGTTTGCAAAAAGTCGACGCAAACCACTTAATAGAGGCCACTGTTGTGGGAATCACTGTCGACACACTCGACACTGAATACCTCCCGGTGTCCGCACAAACAGCATTTGAAACACTAAAATTCAACAAGGGTAATTTAATAAATTAATTAAAAATTTTATTACATCATTAATCCTATTATGAATGGACACAGATCTGGACCTAATGGCAGGTGTGGCCGCACACGAGGGCTCTACGTTATTGCGTATGGCAGTGCAACATATCCCACAAAACATAACTGAATCTGATTTTAAGAGATTAGCGCAAGGTTTCGACTCATTTTTTCACGACTTAAATGCCACCGCAATCACCGACTTTTATTTGGGAAATATCAATAAAACTGACCCTGAGCAGGTCAAATGGGCTCTCTATGATTTGTATGGAGATCTAATCATGACGTGCCCCACCTATCAATTTGCTAAAAACTATGCTACACACTCGGGCGCCGGTAGTGTGTATTTCTACGAGATTACTTATACTAGGTCAAATAAACAAGATCCGCAATATGATGTTAGTCATGGGGCGGACCTGGACTTTGTGTTTGGTTTACCACAAATTTACCCTGATAAAAAAGATACAGACATTGACAGGAAGTTTAGTCTTGAAGTAATGAAAATGTGGACAGATTTCGCTAAATATGGGTAAATATATGTAAAATAAATAACTGGAATTTTATTAAAATTTATATCCAGTACTAACACACTTTATAAATCATAATTTATAACTTTTTTACTTTAATTAAACATTTATATAGCAAACCGACCAAAGAGTGGCCAAAATTTATAGACAACAAAGCATTGGACACCAAATCCCAAGATTTAAATCCAACGAAATTAACGCATATAATAGACAACATATTTCATACGACTTGCGATGGCTTTTGGAAACATTATTATAATTAATTGATAATGAAATTAAAAACAATGTTTGCATACATAAAAATAAAGTATTAAAAATTATTTAATGAGAAAACTTATTTTTTTATTATACTTATTAAAATTTAAAAACCATTGTAACGTTACTGTTTAGCATACTTTACTGAGATATTTGGTTTGCATGACTAACTAGTCAGATTTTTCAATTAATGAATTATATAAAATTATTGCACTATCTTATACAGTATAATTATTGTAGTATACAGATATACAATAATTATCTGTAATATGAACTAATATTAAGGCCACTTACACTGCAATATGCTTAAATGACTTGTACCTGTTTAATTAGTTTATAAAATAGAGTTACAAAACTGATTAATCACAATTATTTGATAGGTAGTACAGTATCATTTAGAAATACATAACCTTGTCCAATTTGCACTAAATTTATTGAGAATATAAATAACTAGAAAATGATTATATTTTTTAATTGATCATTTTTCAATAAAATAAGTTATTTTGTTTTTTAATTTGACAAAATGTTTGTATATTTACTACTATTAGTATTCATTGAATACAGTGTTTGTGTTGATGTGAACACAACATCGGGTGTAGTGAGAGGTCTGACAGTGAATGCATTGAACACAAGTGTCGACCAGTTTTTGAACATTCCTTACGCCGAAC